CTTTGAGACTTTGTGACTCGCGAACGCGTGAAGAGGACTGCGATCGCGTAGAGCTGGGAATTCTGTGCTCTGCGATCGCGTGAAGATATACGCGATCACGTAGAGTTAATTTGGGCAGTGGTAATTTGTGCTTCGCGATCGCGTGTGGATGTTCACGATCACGATGAGTAAAAGCCTGGGTAGAATGTTTAAGTTCTGAAAATTCGTCCCATTTTCCATTTTAACGAATTGGAGCTCGGATTGAGGCGATTTTTGAGAGATTTTCAGAGAAAATATTAGGGTTAGTCTTCTTAACTCAACCTTTGTTAGATTACCCGAATCTATCACTGTTTTTAACATTTAATTGATGATTTAAGTTGGAAATATTTGAAAATAGATTTGAGGATTTGAGGGTCGAATTGTTATTGGAATTTAGTCATTTTAGTATGGTTAGACTCGTGGTTGAATGGGCGTTCATATTTCGTAACTTTCGCCGGATTCCGAGATGTGGGCCCCATGGGTCATTTTTGAGTTAATTTCGGATTTTTATTGAAAATGTAGTATTTTCTTACAGAATTAATTCTATAATTTTTGTTGACTGTATCGAATTAATTATGACTAGATACGAGTCGACCGGAATCAGAAAATCGAGGAAAAAGCATACTACTTGGTTAAATTGGAGCAAGTCGAGGTAAGTGACTTGTCTAACCTTGTGTGGGGGAAATTTTTCCTAGGATTAGTATTAATTATAATGCGATGAAAGTCGTGTACACGAGGTGATGAGTGTGTACACGGACTAAATGTGAAGGATTATGTTTTTAAATTGTAAAGATCATTGTTGCATATTAATTAATTTATTAAATCTTGTTATATTTTCCATCATTGATTTGATTTGTATACTTTAAATTTGCTTGACCTTTTCCTGCTAATTCTTTACATGTTTAGTTGAAACTTGGTTCCTTTTATTCTATGCATTATTTGAAATTTATTTTCTTAAATTTAAATATTATTAATATGAAATATTTGACTTTTTAAATTTGGTATTGAAGCAACGTATTAAAAATTTTGAAATATTATTTTGCTGAATTATTTATTCCTGAATATTTGTGTAAGATTTTTGTACTCATTGTGATGGAGTCGTGAGCTCTTTATTGTAGAAAAATATTATTGATGACTTATTTTGGCATGAGCCATGAGCTCTTTATTGTGAAAAATATTGTTGTTGAATTAGGTTGGCACGTTAAATTATTTAAGCACTTGAGGTGCAAATTGTGATATATTGTGATATTGATATGCATGCGGTGGTATAAGGTCTGGGTATTGAAACGATGCGGTGAGATAAGGGTGGGTTAATACATGTGGCTAGTAGGGGGACCTACTAGAAGTCATGCGGTGTGATAAGGATGGCTAAAACACGAGATGTTATTTCGGGAAAAATATTTTCTTTAAAATAAATTGTGAAGGCTCCCACGGTGAGATAAGTAAATGAGATATTGTGAATTTATTTATGATTTGGGACTACGAGGCGGTACCTCGGGAGTGTCCTTGTTGATATTGATTTATGGACGCAATTGCCTTTGATTATTTGTTGTGATTTTCTTAAAGTTGAAAGAAAATTTTATTTGTTTCCACGAGATATTAATTGCCATTATTTTGTATAATTAAACGGTGACTTGCTACTTGATTCATTTCCATTGTCATTTATTTTATTATAATATTAATATTTTACCATACTATTATTATTTTTCAGTAGGGCCTGACCTGACCTCGTCACTACTCTACCGAGGTTAGACTTGGCACTTACTAGGTGCCGCTGTGGTGTACTCATACTACGCTTCTGCACATCTTTTTGTGCAGATCCAGGTACACCTTATCAGACCAGGCATGAGTAAACTTGTTGTACGAGGAGACTTCGAGGTATATCTGCCATCGACCGCCGACTCCGGAGTCCCCTTCTATCTTACAATGTTGTCTTCCTTATTTGCTTTAGACTCTCATGTATAGAGACATAGAGAATAAATTCTTAGAAGCTTGTGACTTATTTCTACCGGATTTTGGGAGTTGAAATTGTTTGAATTATAGTTTATTTATTTCAGATTTTAATTTTTATTCTGTATTGATAGGCTTACCTAGTCTTAGAGACTAGGTGCCATCACGACATCAAATGGAAGGAATTTAGGGTCATGACAATCTACTAGCATGAGAGCTAGTGAACCTAAAGCACGCCTGAAGTGTGGTAGGCCTTTGGGTTCTAATGGTCGAAATCCTCGAAAAAGAAAATCGACAAATGATAACGATACCACGAAGAGATCTCCTGAAGAGACCCAAGATCTAATTAGTTCTGAGATTCCTGAAGAAATCAATGAACCCAAGACTCAAGTGAGCGAGGAACTTTTAATAAGTTCTACTGGTGATGGAATTAATTTAAATCGATCTGAAATAGTGGTGGATAATATATTTGCGTATAATGTTGCACTTAACATTATGGAAGATAGTGAGGAATTTGAACCTCAATCTGTCGAAGAATATTGACAAAGATCTAATTGGCCAAAATGGCAAGGGGCAATTCAATCAGAATTGAACGCACTGGCCAAAAGAGAGGTCTTTGGACCAGTAGTCCAAACACCTACTGGTATAAAATCAGTTGGTCATAAATGGGTTTTTGTGCGAAAAAGAAATGACAAAAATGAAGTTGAAAAATACAAGGCTCGCCTTGTCGCACAAAGATTCTCATAACGACCTTGAGTCGGTTATGAAGAAACATATTCACCCGTTATGGATGCCGTAACATTTCGATATCTCATCAGTTTAGCCTTACGTGAAAGGATTGAAATACATCTAATGGATGTGGTTACAACTTATCTGTACGGGTCACTTGATAATAAAATTTACATGAAAATGCTTGAAGGATTTAAAATGCCCGAAGCATATTCAAAATCTTGGAAAATATACTCAATCAGATTACAAAAATCTTTGTACGGTTTAAAAAAATCTGGGCGCATGTGGTATAATTACCTCAGTGAATATTTGCTGAAAGAGGGTTACATAAATGATATTATTTATCCATGTATTTTTATAAAGAAAATGGCATCCGAATTTTTTATACTTCCTATTTATGTTGATGACATAAATCTTGTTGGAACTCCAGAAGAGCTCCAAAAGGCAATTGAATATCTTAAGAAAGAGTTTGAGATGAAAGATCTTGGAAAGACAACTTTGTCTTGGTCTGCAAATTGAACATTTAGCAGATGGGATCTTTATCTATCAATCTGCCTATACAGAAAGGATCTTAAAATGCTTTTACATGGACAAAGCGCACCATTGAGTACACTAATGGTTGTTCGATTACTTGAAGTGAATAACGCCCCGTTCCGACCTCCAGAAGAGTAAGAGGAACTCTTTGGTCCTGAAATACCATATCTCACTGCAATTGGTGCACTTATGTATCTTGCTAATGCTACAAGGTCTGACATAGCATTTTCTGTTAATTTACTAGCAAGATATAATTCTTCTCCTACAAAGAGATATTGGAATATGATTAAGCATATTTTGCGATATTTAAAGGGAACTCTTGATATGAGTTTGTTTTATGCTAACAAAGGTAGTGCAAATCTTATTGGTTATGCAGATGCATGTTATTTATCTGATCCCCATAAAACTCGATATCAAACCGGATACATGTTTACATGTGGAGGTACTGTCATATCATAGCGCTCCACAGAGCAATCTATTGTTGCTACTTCTTCAAATCATGCTGAGATAATAGCTATTCATGAAGCAAGTAGAGAATGCGTATGGTTGAGATCAGTGATTCATTTTATTTAAGAAAAATGTGGTTTGGAATGTGATAAAAGATCCACAATTTTATACGAAGACAATACTGCATGCATAGCCCAATTGAAGGGAGTATTTATAAAAGGAGATAAAACGAAGCACATTTCACCAAAATTATTCTACACACACGATCTTCAGAAAAATGGTGACATTGATGTGCAACAAATCCGTTCAAGTGACAATCCGTCAGATTTATTCATTAAATCTTTGCCAACTTCAACTTTTGAGAAAATGGTATACAAGATTGGAATGCGGAGACTCAAATATTTGAAACAAGATTTTTACGAAGGGGTAAAATACGCGATGTACTCTTTTTTTCCTTACTAAGATTTTTTCCCACAGGGTTTTCCTTGAAAGGTTTTTAATGAGGTAGCTAGCAATGCGTATTACTAAATATGTGTACTCTTTTTCCTTCACTAGAATTTTTTTCCCACGAGGTTTTTCCTAGTAAGGTTTTAATGAGGCACATTATCTTTTAATGAACATCCAAGGGGGAGTGTTATAAATATATATTCCCTCCGTTTCAATTTATGTGAACCTATTTCCTTTTTAGTCCGTGCCAAAAAAAATGATCTCTTTCCTTATTTGGAAACAATTTACCTTTATACAATGATTTATAGCCACACAAAATATATGTGCATCATTTTACACCACAAGTTCAAAAGTCTTCTCTCTTTTCTTAAACTCCGTGTCCAATCAATTAGATTCACATAAATTAAAACGGAGGGAGTATTATATTATAGATGTTCATTTAGTATTCCGTTGTAAATAAGCTTCCCGAAGAAGTTTATCCATATGAGACTGTGCCGTAAATATATTTATTTATTTAGTACTCTATTGGAAATAAGCCCCGTGAAGAAGCTTATCATTTTGGTACTCCATTATGGATAAACATTACCCCCGGTAGAAGGTAGAAGATTATCTGTATCTGATCTGTAGCAGCTTACACATCAGCTTGTAGTAGCAACTTATACAATATCTTGGAATAGCAGCTTACAAGCACCTTACATAATAACTTACTTTCTTTTATAAATAAATTTTTTTTTAGTTTATTAGGTAAATAAATTTGAATAATATATCAATTTCTCTCTATGAACCTTCTTTATTTTATAACAAACCTCATATTATTGAAGTATAGAAAGTCGAAACCTCAGGGGAATTTTAAACTAAAAATATGGCGAAAGTGACGATATACTTGCAATCAATTTACAGCCAGCGTGTAACCCAAGTCATACTTTCATAGTCGCAACGTCGGTATAATGGAAAATTTTCAATTTTCAATTTACAACAAGCTCTACTCTACTTAATACACTGCAAGTGTAATACCCTGCCACTTTGAAGGAACCCTACGTTTTCGTGGAAGAAAAAGACAAAGATTAACAAGGTAAAAGGCTTTGAATATCCTTTTCAAATCTCTATAGTGGATTCATTTTCTCTATCATCACGTATTTTTGGAAAACATTCATGTAGTATCAAGGTTTTGATGGTAAAAAAGAGAGAAATTTAATGATTTTACTGCTTTTTCTTTGTGTACATTGTCTCGGCCGAAAAAAGGGATCAGTTTATTTGATTGTTAATCCGATCTTTGCAGGCAATTTTGGGTTCGGATTTTCACGCAGCTAAAGATGGTAGGTTTAGCATTAATCGCTTGCTGAGGTGTAGGGTTAGGGTTTTGAGTTCTAACATGTTCTGTTATGAAGCTCTGATTTCTATTTTTCCTTTTTCTGTATTAGCTTCCGCTCTCTTTGCTCAAGACTGCACAGGGGCATCCCATGGTAAGCTTTTGAACCCCCCCATGTAGGGGAGACTCATGCCTTTTTTTTTTCTTTTTCTTTTTCTTTCTAATTTTATTGATTACTTCAGTCTTTAGTCTTTTTTGAGATGTAATGCAGTTAGCTCAATTAGGTTCTCGAGTTCTGCATATTTTGAGTGAACCTGAATTTAATGAACAAAATGGTTATATGAATTCAAATGTGTAATTGTAGTTGATCACCAAATTAGAGAGCGAGAAAACAACAACAATCAGCCAATATTTTTTCCTTTTGTTAGCTGACGCTTTTCAGCTAACATTATCAAAGGCAACAGATTTTGTGTCGGAATAATTTATCAGTTTCTGCATATTGGTATAATATCTTAAAAATAAGCCTCAAGTCTCTGGATCCCACATGAAGTAGTCGAAACTCATAACGCTCTCTGGGTTTATTAGCTATTGATTTACTTGCTTGTATTCATTGAATTATCTCAATCTGGAAACCCTTTTTTTCCTAATACAGTTGGTGGAGCTAAAAAATGGAGAGACTTATAACGGGCATTTGGTGAATTGTGATACTTGGATGAACATCCATCTTCGTGAAGTTATCTGTACATCAAAGGTAAGTCGTCTTTCCTTTTTAATGTTACTGTAGGTTTTCCCATGTATTGGTGGTGTAATGGTACCTGATTTCTTAAAACTTACTGCAGGATGGAGATAGATTTTGGAGAATGCCAGAATGTTATATTCGTGGCAATACCATAAAGTATCTTAGAGTTCCTGACGAGGTTAGTTTATTTTTTTCATTGTTATGATTAATAATGCCTTTGTGTAGTATTATTTGTTTTTCACTGCCAATAGTGTGTATGGCACTCTTGGACCTTGAACCAAGGGGTCAAAGGCCTGTGCGCCTATCTTGTAGTTATATGCATCATTAAATGGTTGCTTTGCTTGGGTGATTGTAAAATCGTTATACTATGAAGCTAAGCTTGCCTTGCATTGTCTGCTTATTAGGAAAGAGAGCACGAAAGCCATAGAGAACTGGGGAGAAAAAGTTCAAGGAAGGATCAGCAATAAAACTTGTCTTCCAAAGTTCACTGACTGATAATTTAAGCTAATGATTTGCCAACTCTAAAGAAATCTAAGCAATAATAACGGGTGGGAACTAAAGACTGAAACTTTTAGCACAACTCTGATGTTACTAAGGCTAAATATGAATGTCCCCATAATCATGTTGCCTCTTTACCATTGATAACATAGACTTCTATAAATGAAATTATTGCTGTGGATGGAACATTAGTGTTTTAGATGTGGAACCTGAATGTTTTTTTCGGATAAGATGTGTAACCAAATGGTTTTCAAATAAGATTTGGAACTTAGATCATTCCTTGTTCTTATTTATTTTCCACTATTACTGGCTTATTTTATATCAGATATCCTATATTAGAAAAAGATAATAAGTGTTGGAAATCATAAGGTTGAACCATTATTGACATTGTTCTTGCTTGCATGTGAGTTATATTTCTGTTAGAGGAGGTGTGAATACTCTGGGGTGATGCAGTTTAGCCAAATCAGACATAGTTGTGCTCCCTAAGGGCCATTGAATCTGACACCTTGGGTAGAAGTGCAATTCTATGAAGATGACAATGCGAGTTTGTTTATTGCTGACCCGAGCTTTCTTCTGAAATCCACCCCTTGCAATTTTGTGCTAAATAAAACAGCAGTGCCTGCTTTCTGCTTTTACTTGCTTCTTTTAGAGCGGGTTATGCACTCTTCGGCTTTGATATTTCATAATCCATGACAAGCACATATGTGAAGTTATCCTAGCCTTTTGATGTATCTCTCTCTCTCTCTCTCTCTCTCAACGCGCACCCTCCTTTTACACACACATGAATAGTGGATTTAGGAAGAGCCTGAGATTCTGGAGCTTAGTTGCACTTCCTTTTTTCTTGATCTTTTATGGGAGTACCAAGAAACCATCTTTTCCTTTTGTTTGTTAGTTTTTCTCCTCTTTTATTTGCTATCCTTTTTTGTCATTCGTCTTGGCCTTCACTTTTATGCTAGGAAGAGAAATGGAAGGACGATGATGTTTGTCAAAAGCTGTTAACCTTGTATGTACAGTTCCCTTAGTTTGTTTGGAGGTGGAGTCGAGATACTAGATAATCTTGGTGTAACCGTACTCGTGGAGCTATTTGTCGGGTTAATCCTTTATCGAAACCAAAGCATGTAAAAAGAGAGATGAAGTTGTTATAAACCTTTCCCAGTGTGCTTTTAGGGCTGCAGTTTGTGCTATTGTAAATTGAAGCCATGATACTAGCTTCTCTCTGTGGTCCTCCTTCCACACACATATTCATAATTGATTTAGGAATTGCCTTGATTTTTGGAGCTTAGTTGCATCTCCTTTTGTTGATCTTTTAGGAGTATCAGGAACCCTCTTTTCCTAGTGTTTGTTTGTTTTTTTCCTTTGTTAGATGCTTTCTTTTTGTTTACTAGCTAGACAAGTGAGAGTCGGAAAGGATGTCCAAAAGCAGCCATTATCCTAGTTTGTTGTAGCTCTTACTTTGTTTGGACACACGAGGT